TTTACACAAAAAAAAACACTAACCGCTACTTGAATGGTATCCTTCGGAGCCTTGAGAATCGCATCCATTCATTGCATTGATCCGTTCACGAGCTAGACTGGCTGTGATCCTTCCATCCGCTATCGTATGCCACATATCTCTAATCGTGTACTCGATAGCGCCACCCACCTTAAAAACAATTTTTTTAGTCAGACATTTTCTTAACTACTATTGTCGTATTTGAATCCACCCTATTTTCCGGTGTATAAGATACGTTTGTTCGCACTGCGTAACACACGCGATAACGCGCGCGAAACGCTTCTGAACACAACAGCTCTAATTGATTCTAAAACACTTCTTATTCAGTGTGTATAGATCGTTTACATAGATATGAACCAACGAAAAACGAGAAGGGTCAGGATAGAAATACGCGAAAAGTCAGGAGAACATTTGCGATGTTGGCTTGCGAAGGTGGGCCCTATACATGAGTGAGCCTCGTACTACATGAAATAGTGTAAAAGTCGGGATAAAGACCACGCTTACCGGATGTCCTCGTTACTAGTGGCCGAAACTCAGGACGGAGCTTTCGGCTGACTACAACTTCTCTCATTTCGCCGAGGCTCGGATATGGACTGGTGACATCTTCGAAGGGTTGCTTGTACGGAGGAACATCGTCATCTTCATCATTAAGACGCGTGCGTGATAGCACTTCCCATAACACCTGAAAAGCGAAAATATTTGACAAAGAGGAAATTTCTCAAGTACTTTAATCGGACCCCAACCCAATAGGAAAACCACTCAGTTGAAGCAACTCACCAAAGCCATCGCATACACGTCGATCCGTTGAAAAGCGGGCACGGTGAACTCAGTCGCACCTTCGAGTACTTCTGGTGACATGTAGCGGAATGTTCCAACCTGAGATCCCGCGATATGAAGTGTGGTAAAAAAGGCTATAAACGGTTTCAGAATACCTGTCCGGTCACTTGATCATCAATCTGAGGACTACTGAACACTGCAGCCAGACCAAAATCCGCAATACAAGCTGTCAGGGCCAGTTCTTTGTCGTTAGCGCTTTCCACGGAAGTTAACAGAATATTCTTCGATTTGATGTCTCTATAAATAATCACGTCTCTACAGAAAATCTCCACGTTCGCGGAACCTTCCGATTAGAGCAGATGACGGAAGGGACAAGAGAAAACTGCGATATGAACGGAAAATCATAAAAAATAATTAAAATAAAAATGTGAGTGGTCTTACCTGTGAACAACAGTAAATTTGTTGCCTTGAGCTTCGTGAAGGAACGCCAATCCCTCTAGCATTCCCGACATTATACGCAAACCCTGCTTCATTGTTAGTACGTTATTCTGAAAACGTAAAAGCGGTAGACTACAGTACCGTACAGTGACCGCAATACAGTAGCAGGGCAATCTAGTCCAGATGAGATAACTGAGCCAAATGTCACCGCCAGCTTCAAACCACTGTCAAAACGAATTTCATCTGTTATATATGGGGAAGTTAGATATTATAGGTTAGTTGCAATTCCAGTTAGGACAGGATTTCTCCGAATGGCGGGTGTGAGGTTATCGGAAACTTTTATTCTATCCTAATGGTCACAACTCTCTATTGTTTGTTCAGACATGGGGAATCTCAATCTCGCGGATTGAAACAATGGTTCGGTATATCACACCTACAGTACGTGGTACAAGCCACACCAGTACTAGTTTCCCTTTGAATCGAATGCTGCGGATTTTCAGTGCGAAAAAAAATGTTAGTTTCAACTCGCTAAATTACAAATGGTTTATGAAAGGTTTTATCGACAGTTTTATGTTGTTAATTAATTTTGATGTAACAATCGGACGTAGTGCAGGATGAAAAACGTTTGGAAACCAACGACAAATTCAGAGCAAGCAAAAAAGCAACAATGCCGCTGAAACCTGAATTTTTGGCGCAATAGCGCGCATTGCTGTGCTTCTACGAGAAAACGCGGCTTATGCGCCGCAAGTCAGAACGCATGCTGTCGCGGTGCTAGTCCAGTATAGGTCCGCAGTCCGATGTGTTACGTGCTAGAAACGCCAGGACGTGGCACAACGTCTCACTAGTAAATAACAAAGAAATACGTCCCACGACGACGTACATCTTTTCCATTCCAGCTTTTCACGCGTCATAACTGGTTCACACACCGCGGATTCTCCTGGAAAGCCCATCTCCCTGCTAGCCCACATCCCCTTTTGCAACTTTCGATGCTTTCGCGTCCGCCGTCCCATATTTGTCTGGATTTCGCAACAAGATAAACAGAAGTTCAACTTGTCACGTCACTTACATTTCCTCGATTTTTCACGTCGCTTGCTGGAGGAATGAGGAATTTCCTCTGAGCCTAAAGACGGAAGGAGCTGCAGTGTGGTGGAACCAAATTCTTCATACAAGATGCATTATGCGTAGGCGTTTAGGCTGCATCTAGGCATTTCAAGGAAATTATTCTTCCACCCCTAAGATCTTTTCCCCTCTCATGTCCATGGCGTGTTATGAGACCCCTTGTGTGCATGTTCCAGTATGTAACATTCACATTGTTAGTATTAACGTAATGGACCACGACTGAACTAGCATCCTTGTTACTTAACTCGAAATTACCTCCTCGAAATTTCCAAGCAGGTATGTGTAAATATTAGGTTGGAAAAAAGTACTGTCAGTGTTATTTTGGTAAGCTTGCAGTTTTTGAGTATTGATGCTCGAACATGACGTAACATGCTACGTCTGCTCTTCCCTGGGTTTAATTACGATGTCAGTTTCACAGGAGTATCTTCGGGTCATCATCTTCTATCAGTGGCCCCGCGGCACTGGAGCCACGGCAGCTGTCCGCAACATCAACAGTGCATTGGCGGAGGACACCACTACCATCATGACCGTCCATCTCTTGGTTCGCTCGCTTCGCGAAAGAGACACGATCCTCGAAGAAAAACCTCGGTTGGGACAGGCCCCACGGAAGTGGAAGACTCCACCATTCTCGAAGCAGTCAAGGAGGACCCGGAGGCTACCACCCGCAGTCTTGTGACAAGACTAGGATGTACCTAACTGACAGTCGTCAACCGCCTGTAAGCCCTTGACTACCAAGAAGTACTGGCTCGATGGATCACTCATACCTTGACCGATGGAACGCTGCGTACCCGGGTACTCCTTAGTCAGTCTCCCCCTCTCGCCTCCTTCAAAGAGTAATCTAGGAGACTGCTTATTGGAGATGATAGATGGGTCCTCTGTGATTTCCCACACACTACCGTGTGTCCCACTCGAGGAAAAAAATCCATCGTAGCAGTCCAAACCGGGCATGTATTTCGAGAAAGTTCTCCTGTGCTGCTCCTGGACGCGAGGAGCATGCTGCATAAAGAGCTCCCCTATAAGAACACACGGTCACCGCTACCTTGTGTCGCTCAGCTGCCGAAACGACCGCGAGTGGAACTGTTGGAGAAAAATGACCAAGACTAGCATCGGGTCACCTCGTTCGTAGTACACGAGACCCCATACCTGCTATGAAGACCTACCAAATAATTGAGGAGCAAGGCTGGAAGACCAGTCCCCGCTCATAATATTCTCCTGACGTAGTCCCCTACGACTGCTACCTGCTCCTCCTCCTTAAGGATTTCTTAGCTAGGTAAACTTTCAGCAACTTTGATGTCATCAGTCAAGAAGTCGCCGACTTCTTCGATTTGCGGCCTTCTCAGTTCTAGGAAAAGGGATCGCTAAACTGCCGATTAGATGGAGCGCAGTAGTGGCTAACAATGGTCTACTGTTGATTAATTCTAATTGTATGTTGAGTTAGAAAATAGAAAAGAAAAAAGTCACAATAGGGACACGACTTTCTTTACAAACCATAGTTTGAAAAACTACAGGGGCATCGAGATTTTAGACCACCTTTTTTAAACGTTCATATAGTGTGCAATTGAAAGAAAGTTGAAAGTGGAAGTCATTATACCGAACGTCTCTAGAATCCAGCCCCATTAGAAGGCATTAAATTCTGTCAGTTAGAAATAAACAGGGAAGTTATGGATATGGAAATTAATTACGCCGCATTATTCCTGTCAACCATCATCAAAAAAAAATGCATAACAATGACTCAGCTTTAGAGGGAAGTAAGCACTAAGTAACAAATGAAGAATGCTGAAAATGGGGAAAGATTGAGAGGAAAGCGCGAGGCTGAAATAGAGGTTCTCATACTGCTACGCCTTAGCGGGAGGGGGGAGGGACTTTCGCCTGGCTTTTAGTTACATTTTCCTCACTTTTGCGTTGATGACCTCGTGAACTTCTGCAAAGCTACGAAGTGGAAGAAGTTCCGCAAATTCGCTCTGATATGTTATGTTGTTTATGATATGATATGTTTTATAAACTCTCAGGAGTTTATAAAACTCCACAAAGTTGCTAGTACAAGCTTCGTTAGGTGCCAATTTCACGGCACCACAGGAGTTTACGAGTCTCCGCGTAGATGAAAACCAGTAAGATACTTCCTCGCCCTAAGGCGAGCATTGCCGAAATCTCGAGTAAGATCTAGATATGCTGTGGAGGATTCCCCAAATTCCGTTAATCACTGAGTCCGAAAACTGGACCTCATTGTTGCTTAGAATAAGCAGCGCGTAACTCAGCTAATTACTATTCGTATTTTTCGCCACACAAACAAACCAAAAGATAGCCCAGAAGAATAACAATTCGTAAAAAAAACCGCGTGACAACCTATCTGCCCGAATTGACTTTCACAACAAGCTTTCGACGCCCTGAAACGAAGGATCAATAAAGCTACCTTGAGATAATCATGCAGATTCCCTTCCTTCATAAATTCCGTGATCAGCCAAAACTCGTTATCTCGCCGTTCTACGTCCACATAGCGCACGATATTGGGATGGCCTGCTCGACGTAATACATCAATGTAGATCGTCTGAATATTAGTAAATAATTTTACGACTTCTAAAACTCCATGAGAAATATCAAGGGCGAAAGCAAACGACTCCAGGAACATTCCCAGTGGTTTGTTAGGCGTCCACTTGTAGGAGTTG